GGTATCAGTTTCTATTCATTTAACCCCAAAATTGTTTTATCGTACCACGGATAAATTAGTGACGTTATGATTGGTCTAACGCCGTCACGGTGTGACCCCTATGGGTTCATATGGAGTCAGCAGATTTCATATGGGGTTCATGACGTCACATATACTATTAATGGTGACGTCATCTAATAATGCTATTATATTTCATTGTTTTCTTTTTTTACAAAACTTGACTCGAAAAGTTCCGAGTGCTATAAAATCGTTATACAGTTAACTACTGACCCCTACGGATCCATAGAGGGTTAGTAAAATCCATAAACAGATTACACCCCACCTCCCCCCCCCCCCTTTCCCCCCTGGATTTTACTAACCCTCTATGGATCTGTAGTGGGTCAGTAGCAAGCAATAATACTTATAATGGGGATATGTAAGTTTACCTAGGCTAATTGGTTCAAGACATGGGCTTTACAATGTTACGTGTAAACCTATGTCAAGTCCACATTTGGGGTAAACGTTAAAGTCTACTTTAGGGCTGATCCTCCCATGTACAAGTAAATGTCTATAATATTTGATAGGTTATAAATGACATTCTATTTATGATATGTTCTTGTTTTATGTAGCCCTTCCATTCATCTGACAGTGTCTGTAATCTTGTGATGCTATAAATGGAGTTTCATGAGTGTTTTTCGTTCTTCGTTTTTTATATAGATTAGAACATCGGTTTTGTTTTACACTAGTCATTTTTGGGGCCTATTATAGCTTGCTTTTCGGTGTGAGCTAACGCTCTGTGTTGAAGACCGTACTTTGACCTATAATGATTTACTTTTACAAATTGTGACTTGGATGAAGAGCTGTCTCAGTGGCACTCATACCACATCTCCTTATATTTATTTAAGACATTAGTTCTTTCCTTTTCAAAAGCATTCAGTGATTGGATTTTTATGTAGGTGGTATCTTGTATCTTGAAAATGACAGAAAGATCACTTTTGAATAAATATTTTATATATTTCATATCAAATATTGATAAAGATAAAGGAGTAAGTTCGGTAAGGGCCAAATTTGGCCCCGATTATTAAGTTCAATGTTTCAAGATAAAAAATGTGTTTAATTGCCGAACAAAATTACAAGAGGTATTACCAAATTTAAATGCTTTAAAAAACTATTTAAATGAACACTTGAACTTAGAAAAATATATTTCATTTAAAAACCTCTCTGTAGAGGAATATAACAAATACTGGAGTCCCTGGGCCCCTATTATAGAATAATTAATAAATGTCGAATTTTGATTTAAACACCACAAATAGATATTGCAAGAACGAATTAGATTCCATTGTTTTTAGATAATTATTTATGTTCAACCTATTGTTGCACCATTATATATTCAATTGTTGTTTTATTATTTAATACTTCCTTTGTGTGAATATGCCATTCTGTATACCTTTGTTCATACATGTTGTGCTAGTCTATTTGTTACAATAAAGAAAATTCATTATAAAAAAAAATTGACGAAAAGACATGTGAGAAAGTTAAATAGAACTATTTTTGTCAAAGTTCTATTTTGAGGCGTTGATTTGTACATCCTAAATAGATCAAAAATAGAGATTTTTGCGAAATTGGACAAAATCGTACTGATTTCAACTAAATTAAGGCCTAGGAAACAAAGAGCGCAGGCTTCGACAAACTAAATATTTAAGTCCATTATGTAAAATGTCATAACAAAGATTATGTTAAAAGATCTCTTTTGTCGACGCCTGCGCTCATGTTTCCTGTCTTAGAAATCAATGGAAATTTACCCGTTTTCATTGAATTTTCGTGAAAAATCAAAATGAGTGCTATTTGTGACGTCATGAATAGAACAAAAGTACGTAAATGTTCAACAAAAAGACATACTTTCTATCTAGTCATTGTATTAGCTATGGTTCATTGTGATATTGGTCAATTAATTATAATTTTAAATTTTAGCTAGAAATAGAGGCCATTTTAGGGCCTTATCGAACCTACTCCTTTTACCTGTAATGTACCTATATTGGTAGAAAAAATGAATTAGCTCAAATGTAAACTTGACTCCAAAATTTTAAGCCTAATTTATACCATCGTAAACATGGTCGCGCTTGTATTGCACCCTCGTTATGTACCTTACTTAATATAAATACACTGACCAAATACGACATAAAAATTTTACCAATCAATAATTTAATATTAAGGTGTACATATTTCATTATAAATTATACGAACTTTTAAAAATGTGAACACCACTACTTATGCTTAGGACTTAGTGCACTATAGACTCCTTTTCCTTTGAATGAACTTTACAAGAAAAGCCTAAAAAATATTGTAAGCATCCGAAAGGTTTTATTTCGTTAAATCCAAACTTTGAGACTAGATATAAGAAGATTTGGTATGAGTGCCAAAGAGACAACTCTCCATCCAAGTCACAATTTGTAAAAGTAAAGCATTATTGGTCAAAGTACGGTCTTCAACACGGAGCCTTGGCTCACACCGAACAGCAAGCTATAAAGGGCCCCAAAAATGACATGTGTAAAACCCTTCAAACGGGAAAACCAACGGTCTAATATATATAAAAAACGAGAAACGAGAAACACTTATGAACTACATCAACAAACGACAACTACTGAACATCAGATTCCTGACTAAGGACAGGTGCAAACAAATGCAGCCGGTTGAAACACTTTAATAGGTACCAAACTTCGCCATTATCTGAAACAATATTGTAACATCACAACATAAAAAAGACACACTATAAAATATCAATTGAAATGGCTTCATTCAATCAAAAGACATATTAACACAATTGAACATACACCGAACGAATAAATTTGATCTATGACACAATGTTAATACAAAATCAATAAAATAAGGCACTGTTAAATCACTAGACAAAATATTCTCACATCTTATTATTGAAAAACTACATGTTCAAATTCGTAAATCTATGTAAGAAGTAAATAAAAAAAAAAATACCAGCTTTGCTGTATTGACAGATCTTGGTCGTTTCCCACTTTTTACTTTATATTGGAACAGACTTTATCATTTAGATACAGTTCCCTGGATTCAGAATGCTTATGCACAAACCAAAAAATTATATATTCATGGCAAATTGTCTTCGTATGGATCACTTCAACGTATACTACAATTATTTTTCGAGTGTAAGCGAAATGCAGGGAAAGAAATTTAAAGAAACATACTAAAAATTATGTAAGAGAAGATTTTTTGGATCTATAGAAAAAGTAGATAAAAGTAAACTTTCAGAAGGGAAACTTTGTTTTTTATCAACCTTTAAAGTAAATTTTGGATTTGAAAATTATTTTTTTTTTCTATTCGAGTTCGATTATTAGAAGAGTCTGACGAAACTGAGAATTTCAGCACATCGTTGGCAAATACAAACTGGTAGATACCAGGTTACCCATCAACACCTTAGATTTTGTGGGCCGAAAGTGAGACGAGGTAGTGGATGAGACGCATTTTCTCCTTTATTGCAACAGATTTTACGAGGAGCGACAAACTTCGCGACTGGCACTATTTCTCAGTCATGTAATAACTTAGCTAGCATTAGTCCTCTTTTGGTTAATGAAATGCGAGGGCATAAATATAAGTGTTAAAAGATTGAAGTATTTTTGTTTAAACACGCCGTTGATAGTTTGATTATTGAATCACACACTTTAATCTTAATTGCTTAAACAAATGTATTAAATTCCTGATTCGATAATAGCTTGCTTAGCTGGTTTAAACACGGGGAGGATCATATTGACACGATTCTAAAGCTTCGTCCCTAGTGTTTCCTCAAGCAAAGCAATCAACTTAAAGCCCTCCTCGTAATCGACATATATATTTCGTGAACGCTTGATTTGCTATGTTAGACTCGGGAATATTTGTATGAATCCTTTACGCACCATTCCCTGGTGTTTCTGTTACTTAAGCAATCAGTTAATCAACATTTTTGTCTCCCTTTGGTCGCACTGCTGCAAACAGCAACCCTACTTCAGAGAACTGAGCATTTAAAATCATCGTCTATTGTTTATGTTATTATTGCACCAGTATTATACTATGCGTTCTATTGTATACAGGCCAGGGATCTACAATGATCTACTAGGAACCTTAATTGGAATAAACACATTTCATATAGTGTATTGTATTGTAATTGTTTTTTCTTTTTTATGTAGTGTTGTACATGTAATATAAAATATGAAGGAGCATTAGCCTTAATTGATCCACTTCCACCGCAAAAGTAGTATTACACATTGGTAAATAGTTGATAGTTTTGATTGGTATGTGCAAAATATCGAGTGCATGTATGAGCTATCAAATTATTTGTAAGAACGGTGTTGCTCAAACAGACAAATAGGTAAAAACATTATTCAGTTGGTTCTTGTCCTGAAAGCAAAAATAGCTTCACTTTTATTTCTATAATACCTCTCTCTAGAAGAACGACAACCACTCACTAACAGTCTCTTTACCCGGGACATGCACAAACAGAATGTGGAGGGGTTAAACAAGTTTGGCGGCGCCCAACCCCTTTTCTTATCCCGAGACAGTGGTACAACAACATAACACAAGAAGAAACTGTACGAAACAATAAACACAAAACAAGTATGATATACAACAAAAGACAAACACTGAATTACAGGTTCCTGACTTGCGACAGACACATACAGGATGTGGAGGGTTAAACATGATCACACCTGTCTGTACTTTAAATTATGTTTTGCAAAACTGAAACCTGCTACAATGCAGCAAACCTAAACTATCGTGAAGTATGCTAGTTAAAAGTTCTCCAAATTATCAACTTTTAAACAATCATTTTAAATACAGTTGAACACAAATACTTAAAATTGTAAAATTAGAAAAGACGTGTGTCTGCATTGAATAAAATGTTGTGTAAAAATATATCAAACTGTAATTGTCTATTGACGATATAAAACCAGACGAATATGAAAATTATTTTATGGTTGAAGATTCCAATTTAGTCGTTAATTCAATATCAATATATTATATATACAACTTCAAACAGGAAATGTTCCTAATTTCATCTATATTTAGCTATATAACTCCAACTGAAATAATCATCCTGTCTGCAGGTTCTGCGCAGTCTACAATAAAACAAAATAAACAGATAAACAAATTCAAAACTGAAATGGCTGGAACTACTGAAACAGTTGCCTTCCATTCTTACATAAGATTTTGATATTTAACACCTATGTATATCTGATTCACTTCAAGACAATGAAGATGACCACTGATGTTTGTCCTAAAGGTAAAGTAATTGATTTTACGAAGATTTGCATGTCCAACCCAAAACAATATATGATTATCATATTCTTACTTTCCATTGCAAGACCTTGTCCGTGCACCTAAGGATTTGGTCTAGAAGGTCTGTCCCGTTCCGCATAACATAATCATGTTAACCCCTTTTTTGTTAAAATTTTATAAGTCTCAACCCTAATCAATAATTGCAATTAGAGGACCTTTTTAGTGCTTCATAGGGTAACACCCCCATGTATCTTTAGTTGTTACAAATTTTGAATTTTGACAACTGCTTTGATTCCCATTAATCCTATATATTTTCAATTTTTATAGCATGACCTTTACATCGATTCAAAGGTTTTGCTCCTAGTGGGCGTGCCCTGCCCGTTTTATTGTAAATTGTTAAATATATCAACACAACAGTTAAGATTCAACTCAGTAATATTCTTTTTTGTTATGCCTATACTTTGCCCCCGCTTAAATATATATGTTGTTGGATTCCTTCCCGGGATGATTTCTATGCCAAAAGATAAAAAAGTTAATATGAAAATAAAAAATTTAAGGAAATGTCCCAAAAATTCCTTACTTGTAACACACATTTCATTTTTTACTTTTAAAAATAGACGCATCATTTGACTTGTTCCTGTGTCTTGTTTGATGCTGTCCTCGGTTTGAATATATGTGTTATTTTAAAAGAGGGTTTATTTCATGCATATTTAGAACGAGAAAAAGTTAACAATCAATCCACAAGGTATATGTTTTGCATAGTCGGTCTATCGGAATGTAGGGCGATAATTTCGACTTTCACTGAAAATTATGGTAAAACATTGCTGGATATGTGAAAAAATTTATATTACAACATGCTATCTTCGGACCACTCAAAGAGTTGTTGCAAATTGATTTAATGTGAATGCGAGAGAGCGTTATACTGTCCCTGTACGAGCCATCAGATTTAACATCCCCAATCTGAAAAGTGAAATGTATACCCTTAATGGATAGAGTGTAACCTGCATCATTTTATGATTTATACAATGTTTATATCACAAAGAACATTTTACGTTGTATGCGAGCATTATACAATATTGGTTAGTACTGTTTTGATAATGTTAAATGATTTTATGTCTGTAGTTTCTGTAATGCAAGAAACATAGATATTTGATGGTGTTTAGGGCGAGAGGAAACTGTTTTCCTTAACTAGTTGTATCAATTTACATTGAGGAGAACCGTTTTTCGATAAGAAAAATCCATGCTTGTTACGCAGTTTCCTGGCAGTGATATGTGATGGAAGATATTTGTTTTCTTCGGTTTAAAAGAGGGACGAAAGGTTCTAGAGAAACATTTAAACTCATCAATCGAAAATAGACTGATAACGCCATGGCTAAAAAATAAAGACAAACAGACAAACAATAGTACACAAAACACAACATGGAAAACTAAAGATTAAGCAAAACAAACCCAACCAAAACTGAAGGTGATCTCAGGTGCTTCGGAAGGGTTAGCAGATCCTGCTCCACATGTTGCACCCGTCGTGTTGCTCAATTTAGTACAAACCCGATAATTAGTCTAATTCGATAGGTCATTTCGTGAAAACGAGACGGTATTGTAATTACGACATTAGGAACATATCCGCTATCATCTGTGAAACGGATATTCCATAACGGTCAACCAACTCGTGATGGTGTCCGTAACATTTACGAAGGGATGATTTCAACTTCATCATTTAGAACTCATGGTTTAATAGCTTCCTTGTGAGCAGCAACCTCTATCAAGGAAATCATGATAGGAAATACAAGCCTAGGAATATCGTATCAAGTGGGAGATATATACTCCCTAAGCAGGCACTTACACACAATTTATGCACAACATATATAGACGAGAGACAATGTTGAGCTTGTCATATTGTATAGACATCTGTCTAACGTTAGAAATTGTTAGTTGCCATACAGATGGGTACTTTTTTATTTTTTGATTGGTGTCTTATTAAAGTAAACCCACAACTTATTTCATTTATATTTAGATTTGATAAATTAACTTACCAGCATGCCAATTTCTGAATAAGTCATTTTTGGTATAAAGAAAAACCGGGGAAACTCCTTTTTGCTCCCATGCACACGCTTGAAATTCCCCTTCTACAACAAACCATCCACGATCCGTAGTACAATCACCATAATTCCGATTGATGAAAAAACGTCTTTGAATATCCCTGTTAAAAACTTTCAGGAATTAGTAATACGTATTAGAATGTGCTTAGTACACAGATAATGTAAGTAAAATATAGTGCATCGATATATGCATACATTATCAATAAAAGCATCATAGAAAATCCTTAGTATTTGAAAAAAAAAAAAACAAAGTTTGTAAACAATCGATTTATAATTATGACCATATCAATGATTGTTTATGCCACAACTGATGTGCTAAAGACAAGGCTGGTGATACCCTCGGGGAATAAACCTCTACCACCATTAGCATCTACCCAGTGGTGGTAAATAAACTCATCATAGATACAAGGATTAGAATTTTCGTCTACAAAAGACTGATCAGTGACGCTGGAATAAAACAAAAGTCAAAAAAGTCAAATTAAGTACGAAGTTGAAGAGCATCGAGGACCCAAAATTGCGAAAGGTTTTGCAAAAATAAACAAACCATATCAATGATAAATCATTTCAACACTGAAGTGATGACTACTGAACACAGTGTTCCTTATACAATAATTACTAAGTTGTTTCATATAATATGAATTTCACAGTGACTTGCCACAATAAATGTACAAAGAAAGGTGCATTAGCACCGGAAATTGCAAACAGGTAAACATATTTAAGCCTTTCAAAATTATGATAATCAGATTGATAAATGAAGAGGTTAATATACTCTGGACACTTCATCTTATACAAGTTAATTGTGATGTCGATATGACGTCATAAAAATGTCGACATTTGCATTTTTGACGTAAAAGGGCCATTTCATGCATTGTTTTTGATCAAATATATATGAACAACAGCTTCACCCAAATCAGATCTAAATACTAATGTCATGATATCAAAATGTTGTTTCGAACTAAGTGTAATATGTTTGAACCCTTAATGTTAATCTGTAAGTTTAAATTCAAAAATAGGAATACTGATGTCCAACAGACTAATGTCTCATGAATATATAAAGAATGTTATCAGATAGATTTATAATAATTTTTTATTTTCGAATTCATGGACTAAAAGTCGCCTATCATACCTTCTACATTTCAGTAGTTAAAAACTCTCATTCTCTTTGTCCACAGCGGCTTTCCTTCGTAAATAATTTTCAAATTGCAACAAAACGACGCAGTTGAATACGACTAAAAATGCAGTGAATGTCGTCACTATATCCGGTTGCGGGCAATTTATTTTGGTTGTATTATCGATATCTTGAACAAATTAAACTTGATTTGATTATGCTTAATGGGCTACATGTAATGGAGCCCCTATTGATCTTGATTTCACTAGTTCTAAGGACAAGGTCATGACAGCATTTGGTAGACTGATATTGTGACTTAAGTTTGGTTACCGGATGAGATCTTATGAATCATATGTACAACCTTCACCAAACATAGCTTAATGTATAAATTATAAAAAATAGAAAACACAAGACTCCTATTGACTTTGGAGTAACTTTGACAAAGATCAGGATCAACTGTCTTTCAAAAGACTGGCATTTTGGGAAGAGAAAAAAAAAACAATAGGTAAAGTTTTTTACCGGACAGTATCTATGTATCTATTTTTGAAGCTGCATGCCGGCAATAACCATTATTAGGACAGACATTTAATTTTCAACCATCATTTGGACAAACATTTGATATCTAACAAAATTTTGGACTTAAGTTAAATTTTTAGCAGACTTTACAGTCTTCATCACTTAGAATACATAACCTAATTCAAAAACTGTTCTACCACTAAAAATTCAGTAAGGTCCCAACTCGGCTTATGTACTCATGGTTCTTTTGTAGTTCTCCTTATCTAAAAGCCTGGTGAATTGGTGTTCGCTTCTAGATATAATTTCCAATATATTTGAAAAAGCAAGGATATCAGCCGGATTCAATCTGATGCTAGCCTTGGATCCAAATATGGAACACTATTATTGTTTGTATATCTAGATATTTATTTTGTATTTTCTAACTGAATTAATTTGTTCAGAAAGAGGACAACAAAGTATTAAGGTTTTTTAGATTTAAATTTTTAGATTTTTATAGGCGTCACAGCAAATAAAAAAAAAATATCATTTCAAGACGTCATACTTATTTGGAATTGTTCAACTGTACAAAATGAAAAGTGATATTTTAAAGCTATTTTAAAATATTTAAAAATAGAAATCTAATAATCGTCAATACTTTGTGAAACAATCATATCAACCAATCAAATACCTTTCAGCTTATTTCCCAGCGTATTAATTATAAAAATATAACAATTGCATTTCTAAACATTGATTGCGATGTCATCTTTTTATATGATGGTTTGACCTTAGCAATGAATTTTTGACGTACGAAATTGCAAAAATAAAAATCAACAGAAAGAAAAACTTAATAAAATCGAATGGTGCTAAAATACGCGTTTGTTTTTTTTTTTAATTCATCTTATGATACTAATCAATAGACGAAATAAGTACGACTAAAAAATACACCTATTTCATATAAACCATTGAATATTTATCTTCAAATTATATTTGTTTTACAATGATATCTGCAGAAAAATGTAGAACAACAAAAATACTGAACTCCAAGGAAAATTTAAAACGGAAATTTCCTTAACAATTGGCAAAATCAATAGCTCAAACACACCAAAACGAATGGAAAACAACTGTCATGTTCCTGACTTGTGTTCACTGGCATTTAACATTTGTTTTCTTTAAGTTTTGAATTAAATTCCATTTTAGCTCAAATTTTATTGAAAAAGATTACTTTTTAAAACACCTGTTCGACAATTCCATTGACAATTGTATCTGAATAACAGCATGTCTTAAGACGAAGCAAATTTCAATGCATTAAATTTAAACTAAATACTGTTTTACGTTTATGAAAAAAATATTTCCTACACTACCTTTCACCCTCTATTCCGAAGAAGTTAGTTGTAGAATTTGTTGTTAGATCATTAAAACTGCTGTTCAGTAGGTTTTCTTTACTGAACCAGTTCATTACATTTGTATTCTCGCCATTGAATATCATCCACACAACTGGTACGTCATTCGTAAACAGTTGAACTTCAACCTAAATTGTATAAAAGCAAAAATGTAATAGACAACAACAGGATCAGAGGATCCTGTATCGCGCACCTGACCTTTACTGTGGTAAGGTATCAGACGGACTAGAACAAAAAATGTACTAAAACTGTAAGAATCATTCAATCCAAATTTTGTTGAAATGGTCTTGGATTTTTATTGGACAGGATTTTTTCCCAAAAAAAAGACGACGATAACGGAGTCAAGTGATGACAATATCACACATGGCTTTCAAGACCAAGATGAGATAAACAAAAAGTTCAATTGTCACGACATATGTGATTCTACTTCCTTTCAAACTGAAATATTTCCCGACATTATCCTGATTTTATGTTGAGCGAACGGTAATGTCTAAATTACTGTTGACTGCATAGTTCATGTTAGGGTCCTCATGCGGTCCGCGTATCAGCATGTCGATTCCTATAAAAGCCATAGACAACAGTTGGAAATTAAAAAAAATGTATAAATAAACGTATAAGAGTCAATGACAAATTGTATACTTACACGTTGCCAGAAACACATAAGATTTATTTCTTCCCACTACGAAACAGGTGGAAATATCGGAGAGTCGCTTTTCTTCTGATTTCAAAAGCTTGTACACATAGATTACATATTGTCCTCTTATATTGCATATGTATAGATCTGTAATATTTAAGTGGATTTCAGCTAACAAGAAGCTAATATAACATTTTATGCTAGAAAAAAATATTTAAAGAATTAACGTAAATACTGTTAGCCAAGAAAGGCTTACCTTCTTTATTCCAACATCACTCCACCTATCTATAAGTGGATTTCTAAGATGTCGAGTAGTAACTGCTATATCCAGTGGTGTTGGAAGGTCACTACAATGTGTCTGGTTTGTCCATGCTGGGTAAATAGGCTTTTTATTTCCGCTGAATGCAACAAACACAGGTATCCAATTGATAACTAAATACAATTTAATAAAGACATATATATATATATGTTACAGGCATTTTCTATATTTAGGCATTTTGTAAAATGTCTAAAAACTATTATGAATTTTGTAAAGATTCAGGCATTTTACAAATTGACTATTTTTTCAGGTATTGTGTAAAATGCCTGGAAAAATTGAAATGCATTTTACAAAATGCCTGATATTGTTTAATAGAATGAAATGTTCGCAAAAACTAAGGTATTGAAAGTATTGAAAAACAGAGCAGTTTCATCTATGATAAATACTGAATTTTAATGCCTGCAGTTTAGAGTTTTAATGATTTAAAATGAATTTAACTGAATTATTTACAGTTTACATAAGCACTTAACTAGACAATCATGTGTTTGGACGCCAGGGTTTGTAATTCAGCTGTCCTGCCGTTTTTTGGCAAATACATGCTACAAAGTTTGACTACTTCAACCATATTTGGTGAAACCCGGATCATGACACATTCAGATATGTCAATACTTTGTCTGATACAACACTATTATTACAAAAATTATGTGATTTTGTAAACAGCACACACATGATTTTTGTTTGTTATGTGTTCCCATAAAATTCACAGTAACATTTGAATAGAGAATGGAAAACGTGGAATTTGTAAAAGAGACAACAACCCGACCAAAGAGCAGAAAACAACACAAGGCCACCAATATGTCTTCAACACAGTGAGACAATCCGGCACACAGAGGCATGCTGCAGCTGCTCCCTAAACACTAATGCGTACTAATTGAGCGAAATAGACACCACACTTAACATACAAATGAACCAAATTTAAAAGAAAACACAAGACTAACAAAGGCTTGGTTAAACATGTTTTGTGAGATCTTCCCCCTCCCACATGAACCCCTTGCCAGTGGAATAAATAAAAAAATATTGTTAAACTCATTTCAAGTCCGAGTCCGAAGTTAGAATACTAGTAGGTAACAGAAGAAACTAAGCAAAATGCATTGATATACATAAATTGACAAAGGACTACTAGCAGTTACAGACATGCCAGCTCCAGACTTCAATTAAAATGTTTGAAAGATTTTGTTTTCATCATATTAAAATCAACAACAATCTCTCCCACCAGGTGTTTAATATAATGCTTTCATGGTATGAGTAGGTTGATTTACAAATGTATATCTTTTGGCTTATCAGAGCATTCTACATGCTGAAGCAAATCTTTGCATGGCTGGTGATGAATGCAAAGCAGGTGACGGTAATCCTGTCGAAGCACGGATTCTTGTATTATTTGAGTTCATGCGATTCATTCAGGATTTGTTTCACGATTACATTAATAAATTAATAGCCTATTCTTGAGCTTCGAGAATTTAACATCAGTAAACTGCGGTCACCTTCATTCATCAGATTGTAAAGCCCCACAAATTGACTTGAGGCAGTGAAGGGGAAGATACCCATATCTTCGCATCACAACCAAAAGGCCTTGTATGGTTAATTCCCTTGCACAATATGAAGCATTTTCGAACTCGTTTGCTGTGCTCACTCGACAAAAAGCTTCATATTATGACTCGCAGCTGATATTTTACAATATCAATATGCAGACAACCTGATAATTGGTACATCTCATTTTGTCCTGTTGATCATTTTTGTTGTATACAGTTTCTAAATATCTATTAAACTTTTAAAGTTGATTATAAAAATAAAACTAAAAAAAACCCAAAAAGTGGATACAAATAGCTACTAGACGATACCTTAAAAAAAATTGATTGGCAGTTGTAACAACTTGAGAGAACGGCAAAGCATGACGTCCTGATAATTTGAGACGACGTTTTTTTTCTATTTTGCTTGAGTGTACGTGATAATAACCTTGATGATTACGTTGGACAACAATGGTCGACAACACACGATTATTGATAGCAATATATCGGCCATACGTAAGATATTATAAGTACTTGTATGCTTTTTGATTTAAAAAAAAACTATCTTTAAAGTATCTAATAAACAACTGACAGTCTATGGATTTAACGTCGTAACTGTTACTGTCACTGAACCGAGTTTTAGTACTGTACCAGTTACCGACCACTCTATATTTAATACGCAAATCCCTGAAAAATTTGTTAGTTGACAACAAATTTTTTATTTCAGTTTTAGTGTAAAAATTACGTTGGGTACGGGATTCAAATATTGAATAACTCATGTTCTATTTATAATAAATTATGATTCGTTCTACTTATCCCAGTATACACTAACAATTTACCTGTGACTGTCAAACAAATGATCAGTTTAAAAGATATTGCGTACCATGTGCACATTAATGAACGACATGTTTCGACTTCAGTACTGTGTCTAAACTGACCCGGTAGAAAATGTTTTGACTCGAATATCCAGGACGATGACGGACCACTTACAGATACAGAAAACGGAGCATTTCTGTTAAAATAATGTATTTGTATAAAATACAGATACACATATTACAATTTTATATTGTGATATGTAAAGATTTATAGAACCGTTTTTGATATATATAAGGATCAGCTTGTAATTTTTTCCTTTTTTATAGGTTTTTTTTGGGGGGAGGTAAAATTTGTTTAACACTGAGCTACATGGATTAGATTATAATATATTTACCACCTTGCTAAACATTTATACGTTTGGTCACAGATCTTTGGAGTAGCAAATCTTACACATGTTTGTCTTTTACAATTAATAGCCTATATCAGTTTAAAGGTGCATTAGCTGTCAAATTAATGTTCACCGATTTAACTCAAATTTTAATATTTGATTTATAACATACTAAACCGTATATTCAAATTATAAAAAGTCTTAAATAAACAATTTATAACGCATGGGTTCGATAATATGTATCAACATTTCGTGTGTATTTTAGTCTTGACGCCGTCTAATTAACCATCAAGGTTAACCTAATTAACCTCCGGAGACTACAGACGGTAATACAATCTTTCATTTGTGCCATTAGGTTATATTTCATTTGCGCCATTTTACGGCTTACATATAACGGAAAAGAACATTGCTATATCGTGAATAAGATTTTTTTCAGAGTATCCCTCCTGGGTAACTAAGTGAATTCATGCTCATTTCTAATATAACACTGAGAGTCACTAAGGTTTAGAATTATATAGTGTTCACATGTTTGAGGTGTCAAGATGGACATTGTAAATTCTGAGACAAACAGGCCGTTAGTTTTTTCAATTGAATTGTTCCATATTTTTCATGTTGCTTACGCGTCTTGTGTCAGAAAAAAACTTTTGGTTTTACTCCAGTGTTACTGTATAGTGCTTTCTTTTAGGTTTTATGATCACGTTAATTTATAACAGAAATTTAACATTAATAATATGAAAAATTTCGTTTTAATAACGTATCAGTGTATCGAGCTTTCATTATGGTTATGATGACAAGTTTGGGATGAACAATTTTATTATGCAATCAACAACTGTGTTTATAAGTTATTATTAAAAGTATCTTTTGAATAAAACAAATTTTTATACTATTTACCTTTATTTACCTGTATCATTGGCGAAATCGAATGTTGAAAAAAAGTGAATGTTGAATGTTGAAAACGAATGTTGAATGTTGAAATCGAAAGTTGAATATTGAAAACAAATGTTGAATGTTGAAAATCGTTTGTTGAAAATGATTGTTGAAAATCGAATTTTGTATGTTGAAAAACGAATATTGAATGTTGAAAAACAAATGTTGAATGTTGAAATCGAATGTTAAAAAAAAAAAATGTTAAAAAAAAATTGGTGATAAAAATTTTGAATGTTGAATGTTAAAATCGAAGATTGAATTTTGAAAACAAATGTTGAATGTTGAAAATTGAATGTTGAATGTTGAAAACGAATGTTGAATGTTGAAAATCGAATGTTGAATGTTGAATACGAATGTTGAATGTTGAAAAATGAATGCTGAGTGTTAAAAAATCGAATGTTGAATGTTGAAAAATGAATGCTGAGTGTTAAAAAATCGAATGTTGAAATCCAAAGTTGAAAAAAAAAAGGAAAACAAAATTTTGAATGTTGAATGTTGAAAACGATTGTTGAATGTTGAAAAACGAATGCTGAATGTTAAAAAACGAATGTTGAGAACGAATTTTTAATGTTGAAATCGAATGTTGAAAAAAAAAAAAAAAAATGAAAACAAAATTTTGGAAAAAAAATTTTGAATTGTGAATGTTGAAAACGAATGTTGAATGTTGAAAAAAATGAACAAAAAATGTTGAATGTTAATAAACGAATGTTGAAATCGAATGTTGAACAAAAAATGAAAAAAAAAGTTGAATGTTAAATGTTGAAAACGAATGTTGAAAAATGAAATCGAATTTTGATAGCTGAAAGTTGAAATCGAATGTTGAATATTGAAATCGAATGTTGAATGTTGAAAACGAATGTAGAATGTTGAAAATCGAATGTTGAATGTTGAAATCGAATTTTGAATGTTGAAAACGAATGTTGAATGTTGAAAACGAATGTAGAATGTTGAAAATGGAATGTTGAATGTTGAAATCGAATTTTGAATGTTGAAAACGAATGTTGAATGTTCAAAATCGAATGTTGAATGTTGAATGTTGAAAAATGAATGTTATTATCAAATGTTGAAAAAAAATGGAAAAAAAAATAATTTGGAAAACAAATTTTGAATGTTCAATGTTGAAAACGTATGTTGAAATCAAATGTTGATAAAAAAGAAATGAAAAAAAAAAAATTTGGAAAACAAATTTTGAATGTTGAATGTGGAAAACGAATGTTGATTGTTGAATTTGAAATAGAAAAACAAATGAAAAAAAAAGTGTTTTGAGAATTTTTTTTTTAATGTTGAATGTTCAAATCGGATTGTTGAATGTTGAAAATGAATAAAGAAAATGAATGTTGAAAATACAAACAGGTTTTACAAAGAAAAATCGAATGGTGAATGTTGGATATTAAACCAACTTGAATTTTGAAAAAAAAATTGAAAAAAAAAATTGAATGTTGAATGTTGAAAACGAATGTTGAAGGTTGAAATCGAATGTTGTATGTTGAAAACAAATGTTGAATATTGAAAAACAAATGTTGAATGTTGAAATCGAATGTTCAAAAAATAAAAGATTGCTGAATGTTGCAAATCGAATGTTGAATGTTGAAAACGATTGTTGAATGTTGAAAAACGAATGCTGAATGTTAAAAAACGAATGTTATGTTGAATGTTGAAAACGATTGTTGAATGTCGAAAAACGAATGCTGAATGTTAAAAAACGAATGTTATGTTGAATGCTAAAAACGAATATTGAAATCGAATGTTGAAAAACAAAATGGAAAACAAAAATATTTCGGAAAAACAATTTTGAATGTTGAATGTTAATAAAGGAAATGTTGAAATCGAATATTGAAATCAAATGTTGAAAAAAAATTTAAAAAAAAATATTTTGGAAAAAAAATGTTGAATGTTGAATGTTGAAAACGAATGTTGAAAGTTGAAATCGAATATTGAATGTTGAAATCGAATTTTGCAAAAAAAATATGAAAAAAAAAACAATTTGAATGTTGAAAACGAATGTTAAATGTTGAAATCGAATGTTGAATGTTGAAAACGAATGTAGAATGTTGAAAATCGAATGTTGAATGTTGAAATCGAATTTTGAATGTTGAAAACGAATGTTGAATGTTCAAAATCGAATGTTGAATGTTGAATGTTGAAAAATGAATGTTATAATCAAATGTTGAAAAAAAAAATGGAAAAAAAATACTTTGGAAAACAAATTTTGAATGTTCAATGTAAAAATCAAATGTTGATAGAAAAAAAATGAAAAAAAAAAATTTGGAAAACACAAATTTTGAATGTTGAATGTGGAAAACGAATGTTGATTGTTGAATTTGAAATAGAAAAACAAATGAAAAAAAAGTGTTTTGAGTTTTTTTTTAATGTTGAATGTTCAAATCGGATTGTTGAATGTTGAAAATGAATATAGAAAATGAATGTTGAAAAAACAAACAGGTTTTACAAAGAAAAATCGAATGGTGAATGTTGAATATTAAACCAACTTGAATTTTGAAAAAAAAATTGAAAAAAAAAATTGAATGTTGAATGTTGAAAACGAATGTTGAAGGTTGAAATCGAATGTTGTATGTTGAAAACAAATGTTGAATATTGAAAAACAAATGTTGAATGTTGAAATCGAATGTTCAAAAAATAAAAGATTGCTGAATGTTGAAAATCGAATGTTGAATGTTGAAAATCGAATGTTGAAAATAATTAATTTTGGAAAAAAAAAATTAATGTTGAAAACGAATGTTGAATGTTGAATGTTGAAATCGAATATTGAAAAAAAAAAAGAAAAAAAAATATTTTAAATGTTGAATGTTGAAATCGGATGTTGAATTTTGAAAATGAATATTAAAAACAAAAGATTTAACTAAAATATTAATGTTGAATGTTGAATATTGAACAAACATGACATCCGTAGGTTTCATTACTAATATAAGGAACATTGAAAAAGCGAAGGAGCAGTGCTGGAATATTTTACACAAAACTATTTTTTTTTTAGAACATTGTTTAGTTCTGCCTCCTTTCATCGAGTCATTTTGAACTTACTAAATGGTATCAGTTACTGTACTTATCAAAATGACCACGCAATGACCTACATGCATATTTATCTATATAATGTGATAGTTCAGCAAGTTTTTACTGGTGGATTACCCAATATAAACCCATTTTTATAAGCAAGCACACCTTTAACTATTATCAACTGAGAGAATAATAAAGTTGAGTGAAACATTTAGAGCTGAACATACACAAGGCAACACATGACCCATATTTTAGTTCTACCACAACTGTAATGACTGCATTAAAAAATGAACCTGGTAAACATTGGCAGTTGAAAAGTATCATTGCCAAGCAAGACTTTATTAGAACGGTAATGTTTGTGACGCAAAATTGTACAGGGGATGACTTAGTAGAAAGGGCAGAGGTTTGAAAAAAGAAAGGACATTGATTCAAACATCTTTGATGCAGTATAGGATAGAAAATAGATTTGCTACAAGAACACAGATTTGAGACTGGGCATAGATTTGAAACAAATTTCCTGGTAGAGGGATCTAAATACAGCACAAGCAACATTTTCCAAAAAGACTAAAAAAGTGAAAAAGTATATTTTAACAACGGATGTTCTTAAAACCTGCTGACTGCCATTTGCGATTGCTAAACAAACGGATCACCATATGTAACAAAATGGGTCTTAACTATTAATTTAGTACCAAACAGAAAATAATAAACTTGCGGAAAAGATGGTATACCGCAAACAAAAGGTGCAAAAATTAGTACACCATATCCGGATTTCGACAATTAATGTCTCT